AATTTCAATTTAGATTTTACATAATCCAATTCGAATTTGTACCGAATTCAATTCGAAATTCGGTATTAACTGATTTCAACGAATTCAATTTTTGTATTATAATTATATATATTTTTTGCTAAACTAAATGCTAACTTTTGTATGATATATGTTTATAATTATAACATAATATACAACTAACTTAATAAGACTTATTATTGTATTGTTATATAATATAATTATTAGTTAGATGTATTATTATATAATACAAATTTTATATTACATATAATATATATATATGTATAACATACAAATTTGAAATCGAAATGGGTATTCGAGTTTCAATTTCGAAATCGAAAATTCAGATTTGAGAAAATCATAATCGAATTCGAACCAAATTCATATAATTCAAAAATAAAACCCGATTTTCACTTCGTTTTTCGATTTACCGATTTTGAAAATTTCGATTTCCTCTAGTATTCCAATTTTTTTTTTTTAAATGGAGGCTAGAGAGCGCTCCGCCATCCTCCCTTGAAATCGCGACGGATCAGTTTTTTTGTGGTTTACGTCCAATTTAGACCTATATATAATATTCCAACAAACTAAATGAAAGTATTAAAAGTTCAACCAAACGATAATTGCAGCATGTACTCTTTTTCCACTCATCCGTTTGTGGATTTTGGTGCTGAGGCCACTGCGACCTTCTGGACGTTCAGATGGAGACTAGGGATGGCGGCCGGGGTGAATTAAGGTCAAAGTGCCTGTGATGGAGTGGGATTTTACCTCGAGTTGAAGCATACTCTCGAAACAGAAGAGATGACTCGTTACCGCCTATGTGCTCCTACATCATTAAACCCTAGACGATGTAAAAACGGTTACTTTTTTATTTAGGCCCAAACTTGGGTGGGCACAATATTTAACAATCCAATGATCTAGATTATATTGCAGCGTTTAATAAGATAATGTGATCCAATTTGAGCTATTGAGTTTTGAAAATTGGATGCATCCAAATATGAACATTTTCTTTAAGGTTAACATTAAGAGCGTTGACAATTGAGTTTTCTTTTTGTTAAGGATGAGCATGATGACAGTCATACGAAAGCTTACATTTGGATTGAGAGATTTCGAAAATGATTTGAAATTCATCCAAACCCCTCTATTTGTTTAGATTAATCAAGAGGTATTTTGATTTGTAAATCACCAACTAGGCCTCGTCTGGGGTCGCGATAGTTTATAAAAAAGTATTTCAGATACAACTACTCTTGAGAAAAGTACTTTTTAAGGTGCCAAAATTTGGCTACTTAAGTTATAAGAAATTATTTACCAAACATCTTTAAAGTATTTTTATTGCTTAAAAGCCTTTTTTTTTCCTGTAAACGCACTGCAACTTCAAATGGGGCCAAAAGTAGTGTTTAAGATGCATTTAGATAATCAATGAATTGGAAGCTCAAATGTTTCTTAAATAATTCAAACAATTAGAGCGATTTGGATAGAATTAAAATCCTTCTTCAATTTTTTAACCCAAACGAAGCCTAATAAAAAATTAGAAAAAAGATTGATTAGAGAGGGTGAGATATACGGGACCTAGAGTGGATGATTACATAATTTGATGCATGATGGACAACAGGTAATCATATGTATAGAGTTGGGTTGGATGAACAGAAAGAGAGAGTGTAAGTAAGAGATTTCGTGTTCGAGTCCTTCCACCGCTACTGACACTTAAAATTAAAAAAATATGAATAGAGTTGTATAAGCGCGTATTAAATCTACACCAGCGTTATTGCGTGAAGCAGAAGCACTTTTTCCTCGCCCAATAAATTAAGCATGCCACCACGAGGCTCATGAAATTAAGTCGATCTTATTACGCACTTTATAGTGTAAACCAACGACACTGTCCTTGTATGCACCAGACAATAATATGTTAGTCTAACGTTGGAGCGGGAGACACAGCCCACAAGTTGCACAAATGAGCAAGCCATCTTTCAAAGTGGATCTTTGGAAAGCAGGCAATCATGCCCATGCATCATTGGAGCCTTTGTTTTTTAAAAAAAAAAAAAAAAAAATTAAGTTTGTTGGCCCTTTTTTGCCGATGTGCCTTATAAATGAAGCCTCTTCCTGCTTTTTAATTTGCTCATACCATAGCGCTGACAATTGGAATAAAGGTCATAAAGTCTTATTATACGCAGGGGGGCTGGCTGTAAAGGATGCAGTCTTATGGTCATAAGGCAGTTATGCCCGGAATTTTGTTTTTCGCAGTTGGTTAGAACTTAGAACAGAAAGAAAGAGAAATTCTGAGGTCTATAAACCGCCAACATGTGATGGGTTGTCTAAAGCAAGATTGTTTTGTCTTGCCGGTGACTGATATCCTATACTTTCCCGCCTACTTCCAACCTCCTTGCGTATATATATATATATATATATTTCATTAGCTCTCTCTGGTCTAGTTGTTGTAAAGAGCAGATAAAGCAGTCAATTTCTTTCGCAGCCCCATTTAGCTTTATGGAGCTCTCCCCAACTCATTGTTGGCCCGGGAGTTGTCTGTTTTGGTACGACTATTTATTTCTATTAAAACCCCAAAAAAAAGAAAAAATTCGTGGAAAAAAATTTATGGAGCACTACTGTAATTTTTTTTTTTTTTTTTTTTTTGCCAAAACTGTGAGATATGATGTAATTGGTGGGGCACTACTGTAATTGGTGGGGCAAAACTGTGAGATATGATGAATCCAAGGGTTCTAATACAGTAGCCTAGTTTCCATCACTGACACTAACTTTCATTGGCATTTATGGAGTATACAGTAGAGGCGCACAATCATCCATAGTTGGCATGTGTATTGGTTTCGTCTTGCAAAGAGTTTCTTAGGATGCATATGAGATTTAACAAACAAATTAGAAGTCGGATTTACGAAATTGTTACTTGTACTCCTCCTTTAAGAAATCTTTTTGCATCATTCACAAAGTTGGGTTTAATTTATATGAATTGATATTACTATAATCCAGTAGTGTAAACCACCTTAATGATTTTACATTTTGCAGATCCTAGCGCGCGGTTCAGAATTCTGAGCTTGAATTACGCCGTCGTATCGTTTGGCACTGGTGACGAAGAAGAAAAACAAGCTGGGAGCTGTAACTTTCTTCAACGAACCATGTGACGGTGGCCTACTAATAATTCAATTGTGAAAAGGAAATTCTGCTGCATTAGCTGGTATGCCATATGCTCGCTCGCCAATAAGTCAATCCTGACGGACCATCTTTCAACTCAATTTCGTTTTCCATTAGGTTGATTACTGATTTCATTTGTGTGTACCTGCTGCCAAGGATAGAGAAGTTATTAATTGCCTGGCTCCATGCTCTTTCCATCACTGCAACGACAATAATCTGTGAAGCCTAGATCACCTCAAATCCCCCGGGGGGGGGGGGAATATATATATATATATATATATATATGTATGTGTTAGTTATAATCATGTCTAAGGCCACCACTGATTGGTTGATCAGATCATGACACTAAGAAAGCTTTGTACAACCTGCAACGCGATAGTGAAGTTTTGGTGGGAAGCATTTTGGTCATTCTCCTTTTGTTTAGGGATTTTAAATCACCCAAGTCATTTGGTTAATTGTCTTGTGAAAGTTACTTCGTGTTCGGCTAATGGCTGTGGATTAATTTGAAACCGGCTTTTCTAGGAATGGAGATGGAAACATGAAAGCGTGGATTAAAAATGCTTCGATCTTTTAAACTTGTCGTTTAACGCATATGCTTTCATATATCTTATAATTGGTTGTTCGTGAATAATGAATAGAGGAATATAATCGAAGGACGGATTAATAGCACATAAGGATACAAACGGGACCCCCCTTATAATTGGCTGTTTTCTTTTTTTTTGTTTTGTTATCGGGAATAATTTGAAAAACCTCCCTTAGAGTTTGCGACAAAAATAATGTAGTATATGATAATATAATAGTAAACAGGAGCACGGGTGACAAGACAGAAGATCCACTTATTATTGCTAGGCTCTTGTGCTATATGATCTGTAAGGGGGAAATTGGGAGTTGGGTGGGTCTACTCCGTTTATTCAATTTGTATTTTGCGAAAGATATTAAGCAAGCATCCTATAAGATATGATAAGAAAAGCTTGTTTAATTGTGTATGTATGACTGACTATACGAGGACGCGACTCATTTTATGTTTTTCATATAAATTTCGCTCAGTTTCACAAGGAAGCGGAGGAAAATGACAAAATTAGGAAAGAATAGATTGTGGGGAGAGCGTTTGGGTAGGAGATTATTTGGAATAAAATTTTTTTAAAAAAATATATAATACTTTTTAATGTGATTTATGTGAAATGAAAAGATGATTAATATATATATATATATATATATATATATATATATATATTTATGAATCAAGCAGATAAATTTGTTTAAATAATTCACTATTTAAACACGGTAAAAATCGACTGTATTGAGACCGAAAAAGCGAACGAGCTGGGTTATAATTGACATCCAAGCTACCTTACTCTAATAAGTAAAACCCTTCTCTATGCACCACACCACAGCAATTAATCGAAGCTGACTTGCCAACACACGCCTATGGCACACCTTGCAACCAACTTCGACAAGCAACTATCAAACCAAATGGAATAAAACCATCAAATGATAATGATAGAATCAACCATTTTTCCTTGGCTCAGTGGCCACCAGAGAAGGATGTAAGTCCCTCCTTGGACTGTAAGTGGAGGGTTCAAACCTTAAATTGGGCTCTAATCATGTCTGCATACCTACTAGCCCCTTACACACAAGCCTCCTTAGGCTTCCCTTCCTGTACCGACTCCTCATTTTTGTCTTGATATATTCTCCAACAAAAAAAGAAAAAAAGCGTGACAATCAACCGTGCAGAAAACAGCGCCTTCATTGGAAAACACAAAAACAGAAAAGAGGCGCGCCAACTTTGACGTCAAATAACTGCGCTTCATTCACTACTGTTTTGCTGGACCTTTGCCCCTTTTCGTGGATGCTGGACCATTACCAAGCCAGCCCGCTTCCCCAAACCAACCGGGGGGCCTCTATCACTGATTCTCCTTGTAATCGCTAGAAATGACGATTTTTACTGGATTCACCGCGAATAATAATAAACTGTACCGTTCTTGCCGACCGGCTCATTCAATTTGTGCTCACTATTACGTTATTAATTCTTTTTATCCAGCTATGACCGGAAGCCGGTGGCTAGGTTCCAGAACTGAGTCTGCTCCATCAGAGTTCCGGGGACCAAACGCCTACGATTTGCTCGGAGTTTCGCAGACCAGCTCATTAGCAGAAATCAAAGCTTCCTTTCATAAATTAGCCAAGGAGACCCACCCTGACCTTGCCGACTCACACACCTACTCTTCTGCCTCCAATCGGTTCATCCAAATTCTCGCTGCTTATGAGGTTATTTGTTTTTAATAGAAATAAACATCTTCTCTTTTAGTGCGATTTTCACACTCAGTTTACATTTGTCGTTCTGCTTGTTTTATTGCTGTGAATTTTTATTTTTTTTTGTGCTACATTTCTTGTTATGTACTAGGGTAGCTAGTGTAACTTTGGTGTAGTTGTCATTATGCTAGTGAAATGATCAATTTTGGTGATACAAATGATGTCACAAATCGAGATTCAAGTCATGAAGATTAGCATTTATTGCTAGTATTTTTCCGCAATGGATTGCAATCTGTTAAACTGCTGAATTCTTAGGCTTATGTTTACTGGACATAAAAATACAACTCGTATCAGTTCAAGGCAGAAGAATGAGAAAAAAAAAAATAAAGAAAGAAAGAGAGGGAAATTGATCCTACACTGGATAAATGCATTCTATTCTATCTTCAGTTTTAGAAGGCATTGAACTAAAGTGTAGTTTCATCTCTAATGCAACATCAGGAGCTTGGATTTGACTTAGTTACGCTTGCTGAATCCAGATACTCTCAGATTGTGAGAGGAGGGCGCACTACGATCAATATCTATTGTCTCAAAGGGTGCTATTTCAAAGACTTCCTGGGCAGGGATCAGATATTTTTACCTATGAATCACACAGAACACCAGCTGGGCAGATGGAAGTTGTTGAATGGTTGAAATGGTATAGATATGCTGTAATTGAGATTTTATCAGAGAAAAGGGTGGTCATAGGATCAGGATACCTTGATGTATTGGAGAGGGATTTCTATTCGGCAATGCATACAGCATATTATGGCCCAGAGATTGAGTGCTCAGATCTTCTTCCTGATTGTTTTGAAGCTGAGGAGAGGTCTCATTGTTGCACTCCTGAGGTGCTGCACTTGGTGTTCGGGCGAGATCTCTTTGGAATGGTTCGTATTACCAACCAGATTCCTGAAATATCGCATGCTAAAAGGGAAAACTTGACATCTTTTGCATCAGATTTGTCTGAATCCATTCAGTATGCTGATGATCTAAAGAACTCCAGTGTAACTGATGGGGGCACTTACCAGAAGCAAGCAACTGAATCTTGTTACAATACCTCGGATACATATAAAAATCTTGAATTATGTATAGGAGGAAGGCTGATTGCTGTGGCCAGAAGAGATCCACCACAGAGCTTAGAAGGGAAACAGAACAAAGAGGATAGTATTCATGTTTATCTCACTTCACATGATGACTCTGTGGCTAGGAGTCAGGTGTCTGGCGAGTTTAATGATGTGGATTTTTCAGTTGGATACAGGATTCCACTGGGAACAATAACTGGACTTGGGACCAGCCCGGATGAAGGATCATGCTATGTCTATGATAAGAGTGGTGCAAAAACCCATATTATCATGAAGCACAGAACTTTGCTCGTACGTGTGCTTTCTTCTTTTTGCATTTTCTCTTGCTATTAGTTTTCATCCTGGTAAAACATACTTTTTTAGGGGAATAAATTCCCCAGACATAAGCATTCTAATACATTTAAACATGTTAAATAATTCACATCCCTCTACTTCGATGGATTCATGTGCTGCATGGTAGTGAAGTTGCATTAGTACCTTACACAAAATGTTGTTTGGACCTCATTTCTGCTAGATAATTGCTGTTGAAGCTTTTAAGGGACAAAAGGCCCAGGTTTCAAGTCTTTGTATGCAACTGACAGCTTGATTGTGCATTGCTTGCATACTTCAGTTGCTTCTGCATATATGAAGTTCAATATACGAGGCTGCATACTATCTGCGGGAACTTCTGTGAAGGCATTTGAAAGTTCACATGCCTGAGCATTTTAATTCTGAGACTTCTTTCTTCTTTTTCTCTTTTTGTCTTTGATTATGTGTAAGAGGGGACTTCTTTCAGGTAAAACACATGCATTGGTATCGAGTAGGAGATAAAGCTTCAATGTGTGAATGTAGATGCACCAGGGCTCGGTTGCCGCCAAGCAAGTAAGCCACATTCTGTCCTTTCAATTTAAATTTACAGAAGAGCCCTGATTATACGTCTGCTAGCATTAGAAGATAAACAGCATCTGTTCAATAGTTTCGTCAATTTGCTTATTTTCGTTAGAATAAGACTACAAGGTCCCTTCTCCTCATCCTTCCTTATAAATCTTGAATAAATGATGGACATCTGGGAAGCACTCTGACTTCTTCCTGCTTTACATATTGGTTAAAACAATTGATAGTCCATTATCTCAATAGATTTGCCCTACCTATTATGTCCTGTTTTCGTGCGGCATAAGACATGGATCATAAGGATAGGTCTCTAACTTGGATTTTTTGAGCAGAGGGCTTCAACTTAGATTTTTGATAGTAAAGCTAACACGGCATGTACAATCTTCTTCTAATTTACATGTCTCCCTCCTACACTCAAATCGATGTATTTTATGTACCTTGAATGAAACTTTTGATAGCATTGCTTACAACTTTTGACTTGGAAGTTGGTGTGGTTAAAGCAGCATTGGTGCATGCTCTCTCTCCCTCCCCTCCCCCCCCCCTCTTTAATTTTTTTTTCCAGCAAGGGAGGGGCAGGACTTAAGAAGCTGGGAGGTGGCAGGGGGATTTGAACCCAGGACCTCTGTTTCCTGGGGCTTCAATCACATGCTGTCTAATTTTCTCCTTTTGGTAGGAGTTTTTTAAATTTTTACTTTTATTTTTTGTAAATAGCAAGGAAAGGTTGCAGTTATATGCAGGTTGACAACATTTGCAATCTTTTATCTAGTCCATGCTTGTCCCGCATCTTTTGAGCAGATTCTCATCTCTAAAAAGGATTATTCTTGGCCATTCTTTAGTATAATTACCCATTAAATAATGGCAGCTCAAATTTTTGTCTCTCTCTTCTCCTGTCCTTTACCACGCAAATCATTTTCCTGTGCTCAACAAATCTATGGTTCCTTCCATCAGATTTTGGCTATTCGAACCTCGCTGTGGCATGCATGACATTGGAGGCTGGTATGTCGAAACATATGGTAGGGATAAGAAGGCACGTACTGTACCATCCCAGAGACACTGGGATGGTTTGGGTTCAAATGAACTGTTTGACAAGTATGTCTGTGATTTATGAGCCTAAATTTGATCTTTTATTGACTGTAATAGCAGTTTTCATGTTATATACCATAAATAAGTTAACAGGATCCACAAAACTTGAACTATACTGTTAATGCAGTTTTTGATTATATTGTTATCTGCAGGAGACTCCATCCAGCAATGTATTTGCTTGCTCTTGCCTATAGAAGTCTAGATATTGAAGATGCAAGGAGAAGGAAGAAAACCGTGAAGGATATTATTGAAACTAAAATGTTTAGAATTCTCAGCTGGTGCAAGAAACTAGCCTAAAAAAGTTGCCTAAGGCTTTCTCAAGTTGGAACTCGGAAGTGCCCATATCCAGAATCGTCATTGCATCATGCCTGATGTTTAGGTATTTAGTAACAAAAATTCATTGGAGTTCATTGGAATTTGGGAATCAAGAACAAAATATCATGAAAAGATCTCAGTCCTTATCTTGCTAAATTGGTTTGGTAATGATGATTCCATACAGAGAATGGGGTGACTTCCATGGTTTTTCTTTATAAAGATAATGATGAAGAGGCATAAACAGAAAGGAAATATCAAAGGAAAAGATAAACTTTATGCTGCCATTGCAATCTTAGTGAACAAATAAAGTTTTTTGTCTTCATTTTTTTCTTTCTCTGCTACAGTAATCAGAATGAAAGAGATCATACGATGGAAGGAATAGAGCTTAGTGAAGAAACAGAATGAGTACTAGCTTTTGTTCAGCTACAATTCCTATCAAAGATAAATTTCATATAGAGAAAATTTCAAGTTTGGGCTGTAAGGTTATGTTGATCTTATAGATTTAACTTGTCTTGTCTTTACATAGTTGAGCAGAATTATCTTTCCTCAAATAAGAGGGTGCCCCAAATAAAAGCTGGACCTTTTGTTTTTTCTTTGGGCTACTCATTGTCATCTCATAGCACTTGATATCATGGTATAAACATATATCATTGTGTTGTGACCAACTAATCTGAGTTTTTTAGTATGTCTTCATTCCCCCACTTCTGAAGATGGACACTTTTTAATGATCCCCAACCATCAGAGCAAAACAAATGCAATTGCATTTGTTTTTAATCTTTGCTATGTAAAGTTCAACCCAAAAAAAAAAACACTGGCCAAAGTTAATTCCTGCCTATGAAAGGACAATAACAGAAATATTGAGCAGTCTGAGAGTTGAACTGGTCTTCTCTTTTATATATTGTTATTTGAGTAGGTCTTCCCATTTGCAGTATTGCCCACCTGCTAATGCACGATAATACCTATCTCTGCAGTAGACTGGTCTTCCATCAGCAGCTTCTGCAGCAGCTGCTGCTAGATCATCATCATCTATGACTTCTACCGGCAACCGAAATAATTCCTCTTTCCTATGATTTTCTCGTGGAAATTTTATACAGAGGCAAGTAAGTGCATTTTTCTTCTACTCTACTGGATAATACTTTATTAAGTTTTTTGTATATTTGATTGGGAATGAGGGCTTAACTTTTGTGCTTGTTTACCTTATATTGTACTTTGTGTCAATCTTTGAAACTGAAACTTCGGTTGAGTTCTCCTTTGCTGAAAGTGTGTTCTGGATAAAATCTTCTACCGGTGTTGCAAATATAAATAAAAATACTGCTGCAACAAGTAACACCCCTGTCCCAACTAGTGTCTGTTTCAGCAACTGGATCACTGGTTTGACCTATATGCATAAATTTTCATAAGCTACAGAAAATTAGTGTATACCTCATAGAAACTTGCTAGATGGCTTTTAAGTATGAGAAGGTAGTCTAGAGTTATAGTCCATTCACTAAATTTAAGAAAACTTTGAAATCCTTCATTTTGATCGGGGTTGGATATGTTGTTGTTACTGGAGTTATAGTCCATGCATTAAAATTAAGAAAACTTTGAAATCCTTCATTTTGATAGGGGTTGGATATGTTGTTACGAGAAGTGCTATTTGACATATATTCTACTCAAAGTGCAATCAACTTCAGAGCGATTAAAAACACACTGCTTTACCATCGATGTGCTACCTTGTAAGAGCCGAGCAGTCTATCACGAGCCAGAATCTGCAAGAATTGATGATTATATAAGCTACTGTCGTTTCTGCTCTTCTAAAAACTTTTTGTGTGGTGATAAAGCTAGGGAATGTTAATTACCCCAAACCAAAAAAAAAAGGGTGGGAATGTTTTGAGTTTGACAGGTAACTGCATATAAGTCTTACAGGGTGCTATGTAGGAATACAATGATTTAACCTTGATACGCTAAGTTTGAAATACATTTCATGTATACTTTTCGACCTTGTTTTCCAGAGTACATTCAATCATGAACAATCAGCCCATTGCAGTCTCCTATTTTTGCTCTTGGCATGCATATGAGGTTTCATTCATTGACAAAATTCTTGGGTTTGATTTTCTTCAACTAGCATTTAAACTAGATAAAATAAGAACTCACCTCTGGTGGTTTTACCCACATTTGTCCATCATACCATCCGGTTTCTTCATAAGGTATGACCGCTGATAGAAGTCTGTCGCCTACATAACTCCATCCCTGTTGCATGCATAAATGGAAAATGTGATAGCTGGCTGAATTTTGTTGAGTCAAGAAGATCAATGAGATCATTAGAGTTTAGTGATATCCAGAAGGTCTAGTTTCAGTCAATCAGGTGAACTGAGTTGACTTATACTACAAAATCCAGATACTGTCAGTTTTCATCCCAGGTTAAGTAGCTTTATTGCTCAATCCTAGCAGGGAAAGCGGATTACTTGAAGTGAGATACTTAGGGAAGACATCTTTTATCGTTAAGAGATGGGAGAGAAAAAAGCATGCCACTGGCTGGCTAATATTAGCATGTAAAATGTTAATCAGTTTCGCATTGTATTTGCACAAAACTTCTTTGCTTGAATAGGGCCTTTCTTGTTGATTAAGGAGACTCTGTTGGGCAAAAGTGTCGAGTCAGATGATATCATATTTTCAAATAGTTGTGAAAGGAAGGAACTCTTTGTCCTAGTTTTCTGGCCAAAAGTCAGTGTGTTATGCACTCAAATAATCCATACCAGATAAATTCTGAGGACAATTAGTGAAACAAGAAAGAGAGTTCCTGTACTAGCCGCCAAGACAAAGCGTAAAGGATCCTGCAGAATAGCATAAGTGCAAGCAAGTTAGGTTAACAGAAGAGAGCAAATGAATCATGGCAGCTTTCTTTTCCTAACTGATTTCCTGGAGCATTTCAATTTCATACTCCTGTTGCGTATACTTGATAAAGATACTATATCATTAATAGTTGAAGCTTGCACAAATATCTGAGCTATGAAAACTCTTACAAAGGTTGCTAAGTTACCATGTGTGACTTTTAATTCAGAAATTTTAACCTATTTATTTGGGAAAATTAATACCATTCCCTTTGCGAAGTGAGAAGTCAAAAGAAATCTATGTACCTTGAAACTGGAACTGGACATGGGAATTGCATGTTTTCATAATTAAATTACAGTTAGAATCATAATCTTATGCTCAGGTAAGAATTTTTTCATAATTGCCTTACCTTTGCTGGATTGAAGCTTGCAGCTGCAATTGGCACTCCTAGAACTGTAAAAGTGACTAACCAGAGACCTCCAAGACGTAGGAAGAAGGACCCTGGACCCAATTCGGCCCACGAATATAAAGTAGAATCTTTCAGTGATGAGTATTCATTCACCTGTAAGCATAAATTGCATGATATTTTCAAGATTTAACCTCAAATCTTTCTGATATTACTGGACAATGAAGATGGAATTTCCAGTCCACTGAAGTCAATGTGGCAATACATGTCTAAATAACACAAACATCATCTTGAACTCAACTTTTCAGTTTGACTGTAGTTCTTATGCAGGGTTTAACTGAAAGCTAGAAGATTACGACAATCGGAACTCAGACAGGCATTTTCTCACTGCTCAACAAGTTATGGAAAAAACTTACCGGCCTTTGTTCATAGGGCACCTCAATTTCCAGCCCGGGGTCCCAACTTTGACCAGGTAATCCATTTTTGCCACCATTTGTCTCATCTTTAAGGGCTCTGATGATTGTCCTTCCCGACAGAATTTGGTGTCTGTTATAGTGGACTATCCATGACCTGCAGCTGCTGCCAACCTTGTGTTGTTGCAGACTCGGTACGGGAGAAAAACAAATGCTTAATCTGAGCATTTATTTGCTCGACTCGAGTTCCTGTCGAGTCAGAAAGAGCCTTGCTTCTGATTAGTATCCTGTGAATTTGGAGTGGAAGTAGAGAGATGTTCCGAGGTGTATAGTTAAGAGTTATGTGCAAATCTTTGACGACCATTCATTATTTACGTGGAGGAAGACGGTGCTAATTTGTGAATATGTTTATATAGTATGTCGCTTGATGGAGACAGGCATATCAATCCGGATGTGCCAACTTGTGCGCGACCCACTGGTTTGTTGTATAATTTGTATGCACAATTTTTCTATATTTATCTGTTAGCTTGTGCAACGGCTTAGGCTTGTCATATGGCGGCAGCGGTCGTGCACGCTGTTTCATGTTCCTTTCTCGCGTCTTCACGACCTAGGCGGGTGGGACTCGCGGAGAAGCCGACATTAAAATCGCTATCTTTGAACTAAACAGATCCTACCTCATTGCTTAAGGGCTGCTTTTCAAGGCAAAGAGTAGAAGAGTAAGAGTGGAAGAGGAGCATGAAAGCTTTTGCTTCAGATTTTGTTCAAATTGATGAATTTCAGACCAAAGAAGAAGAAAAACTATACGCTATTGTCACTTCTCATTTCTCGCACTTGAAATTTGTTAAGAAAAGTTATGATTGGCGAGGGGAAACGTAATTGAGTGGAGCGCTCTCTGTAGATTCGAAGCTCGAAATCCATGGATTTGAGTAAAATGTTCATGATGTCCGTCGGGTTAAGGGTCAAGGTGTTTAGATTAGGTAATATTTTAACACTGAATGCTACGTATTTCGGGAATAAATAGAAAAAAAAATAGTCATTGGGTGTAAAACTTTTTGTTTCTTCTAGAGCAGTATTGGATTTTCCATCATTTACGTAATTGCTTTTGGATTGGCAGAGAGCGGAGAATAGATCACATTGGACATATTAGCACGTTTAGATTGTGAGTTTTCATAAAAAGATTTTAAAAAATATTTCAAATCACATATTAATGTCACATATATGAAATTGCTATAGTATATTTGTATGAAAGAACTTAAAAAATTGCAATTTAAATGGGCACATTCAAGAGTATTTATTATAGTGGTAAATAAAAAGAGAGATTAAGAAAAGGGATAATTTCAGAAACCTCCCTTGAGGTTTCTAACAATTGCACTCGGCTCCCCTCAGATTTAAGAAATTACACTTAACTCGCTTGACATAGTAAAATATCTATAATGCCCTCCCAATAAGTAGACAATTTTAAATTTAAGACAATAAATTTACAAAACTTAAAAAAAAATCTATTTTTCTGTCTCTTGTCTATTTTCTAGCTAATATAACCTTTTTTTTATTATCTTCAGTTTTGTGGATATTAGTAAATTGAAATTACAAAATTTACAAATGAGGTAGACTATGGGTCAAACTAGAAGGAAATGAAAAGACTCACAGCGATAGAGAAATAAATAATGAAATTGATGATTGAAATAGGAAGAAGAACCAAACATGTGGAATTTGACATATTTTGTTTATTATTAAGAAAAACTTTTATAAAATTTCAATAATTACATAATGATTTGTTTCATTGAATTAGATTTTTTTATTATAATTTTATTGTGGAGGTAGAATTTATTCTCGACTTTAGAGATATTAATATTTTTAAAACCATAGGAGAATTGTAATGGTGGTTCTAGGTTAAATTAGCTTATATTGAAAAGATATTTGAGCATTGGTATTTAATTTGGGGGTATAAAATTGGTTGTCAATGTGGTTTTGTGTTTTTTTTCTTCGTAGAAAGTATTGATATTGTATATACAACTTGAGATCTTTTAGATGGTTACTTGATTTAGAACTTATGTTTCGATGGTTGTTAGAGATTTAGCTTGTTGATTTATACAAAATGTAGAAGAAAATGATTGAATATACTATTTTTCTTTCTTAGTTTTGTACAAAAGGGCAATTTAAGATTTTTGAAAGAAAATCTAAATTCTTGGACCTACATTGTTACTAAACAGTAAAAGTAGGGGAGATATGTGTAATTTTTAAAAACTGAGGGGAGCTCTTTGTAATTGTGAGAAACCTCAGGAGAGGTTTGTGAAATTATCCCTTAAGAAAAAGCCTCCGCCGGGTGGGATAATGAGTGGTGATTGGTTGGTTGATAGAAAGCAATGCGTGGGATCATCCATCACATTCACCATTCATTCGTTCATTCAGATTCGGTCAGTCATTCACGCTGAGTAATGGGACTCCACGTGAGGTTGCACCTGAACTGTACGGTGGCCAAAAAAATCCACCATTCCCGCCTCAAGTTAGCCTTAGCCCCCGGTTGTGGTCTTTTGGTCTTTTCATTTTCCGCCATTGCCAGTTGTGATTTATTTGTGTGTGGTGCTGGGAAGGGGAGTTTAAATTCAACTACCAAAAAATCCGCTCCGTTTGGATTAGCTGTTTTTGGAGATATTTTTAAAAAATTTTATTGTAACAGTATATATGAAAAATTTTTACTGTAAAAATTTGTTGAAATATTTAAAATATTATATGAATTAGATGTTTTTTGAGTTATTGTGTATTACTGTAGCATTGCACTTGAAAAACATGTTTTTGAAAAAATGATCAACCCAAACAGTTTCATACTAAAGATTTTCTTTCATTAAAAAAAATAAGGGTCTATTTAATGAGTGTATATATTTTTTTGGGAAAGGATAGAAGATCTAATAAGTGTGCTCGACTACTCATTTAGGTGTTAGCTTTTTGAAGATTTCAAATTAATTAAGTGTATATAAATAATGAAAGTTAATAATTATTAATGTGCATATAATTGGAGTGAAATTTAAATGCATAACTTACTAAATGGACTATTTGTCGGACCAGTTAAAAAAGAATTCGAAAAATAAATGCTAGAAATCGATGAACATGAAGACAGGAATGCTGTGAATCGATTGATTTTTTATTATAAATAAGCAATATATATAGTACTACTAATTTATTAGGAATATACTGTTGCAGTGCTACTTTCACTGACCCCGGGGTTTTATTTGGGGGCGTTTTTGGTGTGGGGGCGGCGGCCGGGAGGAGGAGGAGTCGAATGGAAAGCTAACGTCGTACATAGAGCTGTTAATCGAGCCGAGTATTTGGCTGTCGAGCTCGACTCGAGTTTAATTCGAGCCGAGCTCGACTCGAGCTCGTTAGGAAAACGAGTTTTAAAATGTGTTCGAACTCGACTCGTTAAATGTACATGTGGCTCGAGTTCGAGCTCGAGCTCGACTCGTTTATCACAAATGAGTCGAGCTTCACGAGCTCGAGTTCGAGCTCGTGCAAATTAACCTTAATAAAAAATTATAATTTATAATTTTTATAATTTTAATTTCTAAAATGACAAATATGCCCTTCATTAACGAGCTCTAACGAGCTACTCGAGTATCAAACGAGCCGAGCTTACTCGGCTCGTTAACTAAACGAGCATGTTTCGAGCTCGAGCTCGACTCGTTAACCAAAATTAACGAGCCGAGCTCGAGTCTTAATGAGCCGAGCTCTAACGAGCTTTCGAGCTACTCGATTGACTTAACAGTTCTACTCGTACACGTATTACTGTGCTAAGTTTGGTAACAAAAAATAAATTCGCGAAATTACTAAAAATAAAAGAAGAAGAGAATTCCCGCCGTGTAAACAAAGAAGTCACATCCTCCACTCCAGTGCTGCACCCGCTCGCTCACTCACACCTTGAATTTTCAAGTTCCTTGTCGATTTCTTTCCCTTCAAAGTCTCATCTGGTCCATCCTCATATCTGTTTCAACTCAAATTTCTTTTCTTATTTATCATTATCTTTTTCTTTTGCCTTTCTATTTGATCAAAATTTTTGAAGGAAGCCTCTGAATTCTGTCCAATCCAGCTATAAGAGAAGATCGATACTTGATCGGTCAATTCGAATTTTGGTGATGAAGAACAGTAGGGGAGGCAAAACTGTAGGGAGCAGCGGCGGAGGAACTTGGCGGAGCCTAGGGCTACCTTTAGTCTTCCTCTTGTGCCTATTTTTCTTCCTTGCCGGCTTCTTCGGTTCTACTCTTTTCTCTCAACCGGTTCTCTCTCTATATTTGCTTAAAATTATAGTTATAGTTTTTTTTTTTTTGCTGTTAGTGATGATATATGGTATACGTGATGCGTCTCTCTCTTTCTATGGTCGATTTCGTAGTGGCGATTGATTGATGAATTTATTGCAGGATGAGTGGAGTGCACAGTCTCGGCTTAGGCCAAGGGTGCTGGAGGCGATGGGTGACCAATTGGAGGAGGAAAACAGAGGCTTCGATCCATTGCCCCATGGCCACTCTGGCGAGGGCTCTCTAACTTCCATTCCCTTTCAGGTACCCAAAAATCCGCTGCATCTTCTTATATCCTCCGTATCTTGTGTTTTTGCAAGTTCTGTTTGCCAAAAATGATCTTACGGAGAGACGGAGAGGGAGGTAGTAAAAATTTGTATTTCATTTCTTCCATTGATTGAAACAGAGAATTTTTAATTGGTCTGATATAGGTTTCTTATGCAAATAATTCACACCATGAACTTCTCCTTGATGGATTGTTGAAGCCCAGAAAATGACAAGTCTAGGATTGCATCTGTTTAATTTTGACCTTTTTACTTCTATACCTGTAAATGAGGAGTTGATCCTTTGCTTTGACAGATCAATCTTGTCTTCAATTTTGTACCTGGCTCAGCGATTGGAGCCCTTTTTTGTTTTTATTATATTTATTATTAAAATTTTCATGCTAGGTGTTAAGCTGGAATCCACGAGCATTGTACTTCCCCAACTTTGCAACTGCAGAACAATGTCATACTATAGTTACTAGGGCAAAGGCTGATCTCCAGCCATCTACCTTAGCTCTTCGTGATGGAGAAACTGAAGAAAGTACCAAGGGAATCAGGACAAGGTAAATAGTAAGTTTGTTAAAATGCAAATTCACTGATAAATTTGATCTCCGTGCTAGCTTTTCCTTTCTCCTTTTCAGTATCATTTATGAGTTTGAAAAGTAGTGAACTTTGTTGTCTTCTCTTAGGCAACAGCGGGCAAATATACGGAAACTGATAACATCTTGTGGTTTTTTGTGAATTAGTTCTGGAATGTTTATAAGTGCATCTGAAGACAAAACAGGGACTTTGGCCCTCATTGAGGAAAAAATCGCTAAGGTGACAATGATCCCAAGGAGTCATGGAGAGGTAATTTTTAACTTGAGATGTTTCCTTCTTTCTCTACCCCCTCCCCTAAGCCATGTGCAAGCAGTTTTGACATTTGAGCCCAGTAAATGATTTTTTTAAAAATCAAATCTGTAGTTTTTATCAGCCTTACAGAGGTCTTATTCCGTTTTATGGCAGACAATTGCCAAAGTGTTTAGATCTTTGAAATGCAATTCAAAGACGTGCATTTAGATCTTTGAAAGCCAAAAGTGTTTTTTGGCTATATTCAAATCTTTAAATGACTAAGCATATGATTTGACCCATTTTCAGTCTCAATATTTTCTTGCTTAATGTTGTCTGATTATCTTCTCTGTTGAATTAGTTGACCTTTGATTTCAGGTCAATTCTAAAACTGTGTGAGTAATGCAAGGATGTAAAAATGTTTCAGGCATTTAATGTCTTGCGGTACGAGATAGGTCAAAGATACCATTCTCATTATGATGCATTCAATTCTGCTGAATATGGTCCACAGAAGAGCCAAAGGGTACGAAAACAATATATTTTCAATCAATCTTCTTTCCAGTTTGAACTCTGTTTCTCATGCAAGCAGAATTTTAATTATTATTGAGGCCTCGGGCAAGTGGGCATTTTGGACTCGGGAGTAGCTCGAAAGAATAATATGTTTGCCTCCTAAATCCTGCTGCATCAGCACTCCCATGCTCACCCACACCCCGGAGAAAAGACCAACCCTTTGACTTCTGAATCAAAGCAAAATAGATACAAACTGCAATTAAATTAGTTCAGTTTGGTGCAACTCTAATAATCTTGTGCATAACTATGCAGTATGAAGTTGCAGAACCATCGAGAGAATATTTTACAATGCATAGTCCGTCTCCGTCTAATCAAACTCTATTTTATAATTTATGGAACACATGCCTGCAGCTACTTTCCAGTTTCCACCTGATGTCCTATAGAATTGCTTCCTTTGTCAGGACTGTTGCTTTCTTCACCTTTCTGTGTCTCCACATTCAAATAAAAATTGCTTAGAGAGTTCTTCATCTCTATGTTCTACTTGCTCTTTCAATCCTTTTGCGAATTCTTGATCAGGCTCTTAATGGTATATCCCTTATTTAATTTTCTCAGGTTGCTTCTTTTTTGCTGTATTTATCTGATGTTGAGGAAGGTGGGGAAACCATGTTCCCTTTTGAGGTAAGTTCAAGCCCACGGTGATTTCCCTTCTCTTGCCTGCTTCTTTCCTTGTATCTCAGTCTGCAGTATATGAATGCTTTAATTTGCAGAATGGGGTGAACATGGATGCTAGTTATGATTATCGAAACTGCATAGGTTTGAAAGTGAAACCACACCGAGGGGATGGACTGCTGTTTTACTCACTTTTCCCAAATGGTACAATTGATCCTGTAAGTTCTTCTGGATGTCACTAGCTTACCTAAATTGCTAATTTTTTCACGGGTGGGGATAGTTGAGTTTGAGTCTTTCCTTCAAATCCATTGTGCAATGATGTGAAAATTGGTTTTTTGACTGGAAACGATCAAACTAGTATAATTAAACATTCAATGGAGTCTATTTACTTTATTTCCTTTATCATGACAAAACAGATTTTGTCTGTACGTTTTTACAATGAACATTATTGTTAAGCGATGGCAACTACCTGGAAACAAGGGAAAACGCATATGGATATATGCATTTGCTGCAATGCCTCCAAACTAGTACTATCTACCTGGTGCCTAAGACCCAATGGGTTCTTGTATTTAGAGAAATGCTGTTTAAAGCATACAAAATCTGTGTTTTTAAATCCTTTAGCAGAAGAAAATAGTAATTGTTTTAGATTACTATATATGCTTATGGAGCGCATTAGCGACATAGTAGATGAAATAAATAAACAGGTGTATCTGGAAAACAGGAGACTACTCTTTGATCCATAAATCCTGGTTTAAAGCTGCGTTAAAAAGGCAGCTAGTAGCTTGCGGCACCATGAGTCCCTTGTATTATCAAAAATGTGATGTTGCACCACAATATAAAAGTTGATGTCTTCAATAAAATGGCCGCTTGTTTCCCTCATTCCGGCTTCCATTCAGTTGCATGTATCATGCTCATAAGAGACAAGATAGTTCTTGTTCTCATATTTATTTGTTTCATGAGTTGTAATTTGTATTTTGTCTCCCCATTTTCCCAGGCCTCACTTCATGGGAGCTGTCCCGTAATTCGAGGGGAAAAGTGGGTGGCCACAAAATGGATCAGGGATCAAGAACAGGATGATTAGGCGTTTGTAACTGTGTTTCAAAAAGTTATTACTGTCGAGGAATGTCAAGCAAGTTTTGCAGTAAATATACCCATATTCTTTGTTTTCTAATTTAAGAAGAGATACAAAATCCTTTTTCTGCTCTCCTTATATTGCGGTGAGATGGGCATGGATCTACTGATTGTCAGAGCGCACCCTGTTTACAGCATCTTGTACATCACGAGCTGGAAACCTTTTTACACTAGCTGATATTGAACTTCGACAAAAACAAGACGCTGGGATGAGCGAATTTATATCATCATCTATGGACCCCTGCGAATCACACTATTATGCCGACTGCATGCTCTCCTACATATTCATCACATGATAGCGCCTGTTAGCAATAACTGTTGTGTATTTCTTGCAATCTCAATGGTTCAAGGTTGGAGTTGCTTCTCAGGGGAAAAAAATGAAGCTCGGAAATTACTCAATGGATTCTTGGTACGGTCACTCGGATATCCCCTTGAACAAATAAATAGTAGGTCGCTCGGCATTCTTCCCAAACATTATATTGCATGAGTTAGCTTACATCTAAAATATGGCTACACTCATTTCCTCCAGTACAAAACGTAAACAGCGAACTTCCAACAAAATGAAACCTCTCTCCCCTTTTTGGAACTTTACAGCTTTCTATAAGACGAATAACCAAAAGCAGGATTACAACCGGAACATCATCTCTCTCGCGAAAGTGGTTGGGCACTGGAAGATTCATGGCACCTTCTTGCGGATTTCGCTTGATTTTCTAGATCATGCATATCTTGAGAACCATCACCGAATAATAAAACGCGGAGCTAATCAAAGCATGCTTCGTTTTGATTCTAATGCACCAGCCCTTTACTCTACCCAGTGGAAGGAATTCAAATTGGAATTCACAAAGCTCAATATCAAGCCCACAAATAATCTCCTATTGTGTTCTTTGGACTTTCACTCATTCCTTCATTTTTCAGTCATTCAGCAGGCAAGTAATCGAGAAGGGTCTAATTTCCATCTGTTTAAGAATGACTGATGATGCAGGACTGCTCAAATAAGTGATCTGGCAAGAATGTGCATATACATCACAACTTGTGCCAATTTTGGTAGAGTTGCTTCCCTGGCCGCTTTAACATATACATGCAGCCAGCAGCTGAGAATAGACCAAAAGCAGCAAATGCAATAATCGTTGAATTTGCAACAGTGCGATAATAACCTCTCTGCAGGATTACCAAGCAAAAATGGACCTTTCAATCATGAGAACTAAGAATAAAAACAAATAATATTTGGCCTGGGAAAAATAATATTACAGGACCTACTTGCACCAGAAATAACAAGAACACCATGTTAGCAGGAGCTTGAGATAGAGTTATCATTCCTCCACGAAGTTCATTTGGTACATACCTGTGAAAGCCATAAAAATAAAAAGTTAATGTAAAATCATTGCTCTGATGCAAGACAGATAGACACTGTCATATATTAATCATAATAGAACACAAAGTTACATGCTTCTCAATCTGGCAAGTGATGGCAAAACAACACCAACGCAAGCATGAAACAAGAAGAACAGTACTAGGAGAACACCAACGTCCTGAAAAAGAATAAACAAAAAGCAATGTGCATTTAGCAGCAAGCTTTGTATATGTATAACATTTACTTCTTCAGACAGTCAAGTTTTAAAAGGAACATACCTGATAATCATAAGCTACAACAGATAAAAGGAGGCCCATGACAGGAAGCACGTATATTAAACATTCCTCTATCCTAAGTGATATCGTTCCATTATACAACCAGGGAACTGCAGTGCTTCCTAGCATTCTTGCCCCCATCAAACAAGGATATATTAATCCTAATTGTACCTCTCTGCCATCAGCCTTCAATGTGAAAAATTAAAAATTCAACACTAATCAAAAGCTAATTGCAAGAGGGATGAAAAAGAAAGTGAAAGAAAAGATACAAACAGGTTAGATCGTAATAACAATCAACTTTATAAGCCATAAGGTAATCATGTTTTAGGTTAAAAAGCAAAACTCCCACTAAACTATTTTTTTTCCCCAGAAAAAGATCTAAACTGGTCCAAATGCTATAGTTGTCAAACTTAAGTTTTTCAACCATGAAACAAATCACGTAAGTTTTGAAAACACAAACTGTGACCATTCATGGAAAAATTGTGATTCATCTATAACATCTTTGAACAACAAATCCGATCACTTGATTACTTTAATATGTTAATTAAAGACTTAAATATAAAATGCCGCATCAACCTTAGAATGAAAAGCTTTCTCCAAAATTGATCTCGCCCAATTTTGAGAGGTCAGGAAGAATTGGAGCTTTTTGCTGTAGTGGTAAATGGCAATCTATCAACAACTAGAACTTACAGCATCTAATGATTAAGCTATCATTCTCAAGAAACTTGGAAGAGAAAGTAAAGAACTCATCCACAGCTTCCATATTAGAAGATCGCCACAGTTTCAACAATATGACATATTACTATGCTGCATATAATTCATCTCAAACAGAAGGAAAATTAAATTAACTAAAGTATAATTACCAGATATACTTGGTACTATGTATGTCAGAAAGTTGGGGAAAGATAAGAAGAAATTAGGTTTCTTTGTACAAAATTGCAACAGTAGCTTACCACAATTGTTGGAGCCCAGAGAACCCAGAAAACTGCAATAGAGAGGTGTACACAAACTTGTGACCATGATAGCAACCATACCCTTTTATCTAGCAAGAAAGGAAATTCATCATTGACAAGAAGATATTTGATGAATAACAGACCACCGTATGTGCATGGGCGTCACTTCATTGTTCTCAAGTATTCAATCTCAACAAATAATTTGAACTATCTTAAGCAAAACAATTTCAATATATCCATGGCCCTATGTAACTATCAGCACAATTTACCTGAAAAGATATGTGTCTGGAACGAAATCCAATAGTCACTACAACTGGCTGTTCGTGGATTTTCCTTGAATCCCCGAGCAACATGAAGGATACATATAATTGCTAGAACCACAGCTGCATTGTAAGGAGAAAGTATGGATTTATCCCTGTTGCCTCCAATCAACCAATTCCCAAGGAACTGGCTGCAGATGAATGATGCAGATTCAATAAAAGTCATTAACCAAAACATGTCGTTTAACGTATCTTGCCTCTGGCCCAGCTGCAGAGTGTGAGTAAGTGTAATCATTAGTTGAGTAGCAGCAGACACAGAATCTATCAGAAAAAATGCAGTCCTCACTCCTCATGCAATAGGATGGGTAAACTCGACAATGTTCAATAATACAACCTTTAGACTACAGGACACCAAATTAACGAGCAGAGGTGGCATTCATGCGATTAGAAAAGTTGTAAACAAGACTTGGAAGACGAACCTTATCATGCTCGAAGACCATCCATGCCTCAAAACTGAAGGAAAATATAGAAGAGGCAAGAGAAAGACAGAAGCTTGTGAAGCATAAGCTTGGATGTGTGAGGAAGCTTTTGAATATAGAAACAAGGAGATGCAGGGTGTAAAATAGCAAGCAAACGTTCCTTGGACCCCTGCATAAACAGAGTCATTGAGAGTAATCACATCAATGTGGAGCAAAATGCCGCACCAGAAAGTATAACCGTAATTGGGCCAATAAGCAGTTTGATGACTGATTAATAAACATGATGATTTTCCTCAAAAACCAAAAATAAGCAAACTTGCAGAAGTTTTAAGCATCCCCCACCACCCCATATAACAATCTAAGAAAAGAAGAGCACCAAACAAATTCAGGCAGTGCAAGAGAGCAGGCTTACATCAAATCAGAAAGCACGCCTAAGAAAGTACCGATACAGAGTGAGGCAGCGCATCCCGCGCACACATACGGCAGCGTTTGCTCCTTACTAACTCCTCCGTAATAGTGTTCCCATTCGTACTCCCCGAACACCGTCCCCAAGCCCTCCATCACTAGTTTATCATTCAAAAAATAAACCAGTAATAACAGTCAGTCGGATTAAGCAATGAAACGAGAATTGGAGACTCGGAAGAAAAAAGGTAAAGGTGAGCGATGGATCACCGGAGGAGAGTGAAAAAAGGAGAAGGAAACTTCTTTGGAAACGGAAGAAAGCTGATGAGGATTGGGCGTGATCGAAGACTGTAGTGGGTGCCGCTCTGCCGGAGTAATGAGGGCAGAAATAGATGGAAGCGAAGCATGATATTAGCGTGAATAGGTAGAGCGCTTTATTGGGTTCCCAAACCTCGCTCTCCTCCACCACTCCCATTTTTGTTATTTTACGGTTGCCGTCTCAAAGACGAGTCTTAGGCCGACGAGACGAGAGTACTTCTGCTAGTAGTAGGAATTTGTCGACGGAGTAATTGTTTTAGCAGAGGTCACCGGCGGTCCGGCGGGATGTTAATTAATTAATTTAGCATAAAATTGCAAGCAGACAATCCCAGATCTGAATGAAATTCGGATCGGATGCTTTCAAGTGAGTTTGGGACGTTGGGCCAAGGCCCAATTTAATTACTAACTAACTTGGATGAAAACATGTTTGAGGGTCTTTTGGATTTTGTGGTCGTAGTTCCTTAGAAGCACAAATTAATACAGAATCTCACGAGTTCCACAGCTGTAAAACGACATGGTACATTACTTTGACATGCCAGATTCATTCATTCATTCGTAAATGCAAAGAAGTCATAAGAAAAGGGCGGCAGTTTTTAAGGATGTTAAAAAGTGTTGTTTCTGGTGAAAAATACTAGCAGCACAAATGATTTGCATTTAATATGTAAAGCTAGCAAATGAATTAGTGAATACTACTACTGTTACTACCATAAAAGGTATAGTAATAATCAAATCATGATGGATAAGGCGGAATCAGTTTTTGATTTACAAACACATGCAGTTCTCCCTAAAATCCTCTGTTGAAATCAAGATTGGAGTAAAAGTACTAGAAACTGCAGCCCTCCGCGTGATCAGCTACAGGCATCAGAAAGGCCTCTCACTTTTTTATGATTTTGTCCTGGGATTCAAAGCAAAAAACCTTCATCAGGCTCACAAAAATGCACAAAATACAAGGGGCCCAAAAAGAAAAACGGAGTAAAATTAGCTAGCTCTAGTCCAACTACTTCCTCGAGCAAGCCAGGAAGTCATTGCCAGGCAAACAAGAAGTTGCTATTCTCAGTTTCTCAGCATTATGTAGCCTATAAGAAATGTATTGTCACATCAGTTTCAGTTACGCAGCCTCTGTAGAATTATGTCACAGATATTGAACAGAGAAATCAGGCCCCTGATAGATTTGCTTCTATTGAGTGACGGTTACTCTCGATTAAAATTTTGTCCTTTCGCGTCGTAGCTTGTAAGTAAGTGGAATAGTTAATCAAGTTCTTTTGACCAGCATTTGCTCAATCAAATCGATGCAGTTTCTGGACTGACTTCCATTTTTAGCACCGAATTAATTCAACAATTTGGAAGCTGTCCCCTTTTGAAAAGCTAGTTTATTTCCATCAAAGGCAACAAGATCGCTAAATTTAACAAACCCGTGATCTATCCTGTCACTGAGATTAAAGCACATGTAAATGGACATCAGAAAGGCAATCATTTGGAGAGATCTCAGTTACCTCCCATTCAGGTATGCTTGCTGACAGAAGGGCCATATACCGTTCCATTGCCATTTCTGAGCTCATGTCACCCAGCTTTTGCCAAGCATTCCTACCATACCAAAATGAATCCACCGTAGTTCAGTTCAAAAACGGCTACTGGTCCTATTCCAAAATAAAAACCTTACAAGTTGTCAAACCTGAATAACATCAGAAAGGCGTACAAGAAGTCTAAGCCGATTTTAGTTAAGTTAAAGAAGACGGAGTCGGACAAACGAACGTGCTACTAATTTTCACGTGATTCTTCATGCTGCCCTATCAATAGTCAATACGAACACTGATACGTGCAATTCAATTTAGAAACAGCGCAACCAAAACTGTGAAAAAGAAGAGAAAGAAGCTGAACAGGAAGTCGTAAAAGCAATATAAGACTCTCGGATTCCATGATCAGTTGAACGGAACTAGTTAACATTCAAGCAAAACAGTGCTGGAAAAACAGGGAATCAGAATAGAATGCAAGGCGGGTATGTCTCATGTCAAATAATGGCAACTCATACTACTTGTTTAAGAGGTTTGGAAGATGGGGTATGTCTCATGTCAAATGGTGCCAACTCATACTGCTGGGCTTCCACTTCAGTGTTAAATTACTGCAACTGTTTGTTAATGCTTCCTACACAATAATGCGTCCAGACAAAGCCACGTTCTAGTTCTGTTAATTTTGAAAACATTAGCATTCTACTAGACATGCAGCATTCCGTCCTAGGTGCTTTCTCCCTGGTCCCTTCAGTCGTGTTTATCTTTCATCGTCCAAATTCTTCTAAGAGAGTCAACAAAAGATAACCCGACACTATACGAGACTAGAAATTTGTTAATAATTCCTTGAAACAAATAGCTGATGTAAAAGATCATAAGGTAAGGTTAATACTACCACTTAGCACGAGCCGAAACCTTCAATGCCATTGGCTGTGGCCCGTGGCAAGTTCCTTCCATGGCAACCCTGTGAAGCCCGTAAAGCTGCATCCTTGTATTGCCATCAATACGATCAGCATTGCCCTTGGAACCAATAAAAGCCACTGCTGCATCAAAATGCTTCTCCAGCTCACTTCTCTCTATCCCTTCCCAATCATCAAACAGCCCCTCTTCTGATTCTTCCACCCCCACCTGATCATTAGATTCATTGCCCTCACTCCTCTCAGTGCTCTGTGCTGCATCCCTCTCTGTTTCTTGACTATGTTTATTCTCCAAAACCTCACAAATTTCCTCATCCTTGCCCTCCCTCACCTCAAATTCTTCCCTTAAACTCAGTGCCACATAAGCTTCTTCAACTAGGCTTTGTAGTTCTTCTTCAGTTTCCTGGGGCATTGGCCTCGATTCAGAACATTCATCAACTTCTTCTTTTTCTTTAATATCCTCACCGCCACCGACACCGACACCATCTTTTTCTTCCCTCGCCTCTTGTACTAGTACGTTTTCGACAACTCCACCAAGAGCTTCATCGTTGGTGTTATTATCTTTCTTTTCTTGTTTCAGCTCGTTCCCTTCACCATCAACACTGTGAACTTCTCCCGACATCACTGCTTGAAACCCAGAATTCCCAAGATTTCTTTCTTGTCTAATATCAAAAACCCCAGGATATTTTTCGCCAACATGCTCCAAAAACCCAGCTTTATAAATAAAAACATCGTTTCTTGAATTGCACGTAACATTGGTGATATCTTCAGCAGAACTCGAACGAAGCTTAGACAGAATAAAATAAACAACCATCGTGAGGTATGCAGAAAAAGCCAAGTCCTGAAAAAACCCAGCCACCATCCTGTGTAAGTGTGACAGAGGGAAAAAAAAACCAGAGGAGAATTGTGGCGATTACAAGCCGGAAATTTGATGCAACAAAAATACTGGGAGGGGGGGTTAGGATTTGGCAGAGGCAGAAGGAGAGCACTAGAGTATATTCTACTCAAAATTGAAATTGTTGCCGTGGGTGGGTCCACAGTGTTGGCGAGGCTTCACAAACACAAAAGCTGCTTGTCCGAAAACGATCCTCTTTGCCTATTATTATATTATTTAAAGCGGTTTAGAGTACGGAAAACACGAAAGTGCGGTACCAAGAAACACCACTTTCCTATTTTATCCATGTATTGAGTAAATCCATCCATTTACTATGATTTGCCATTAGCAGTCTTGTCTTTTCTTCTTTTGACACCTGTATCTTACCGTGGATTTTGTTTTCCCCTTTTCTTCTCTTCTTGTTGATGTTTCTTGGCGAAGTTGGTCTTGTCTTTCCGCCGCTTTCCTTGCTTGGAATTTTGCTTCTTCACCTTTTCATTCATGATTTTTAGATTTTTTTTCTTATCAAGACACAATTCAATCCAAGGGACTTCTCCTCTTACACTCCAAATAGAAACTCAAACCAGTGTAGACAATTGCATGGATCTATATTGTTGTATTTTGCAATAGTATATAGTGCATTTAAGGCTTTTTTTTTCAAGGCAAAGTGCATTTAAGAATTGAATCTCAAAATTTTTGTTGTTTCAATCATTAAACCGTCTCGTTAACAATTATCAAAGAAACATGTGATGAAAGCTATTGTATACCAATTTTGATCATGCCTATAGAGTTATATACATGTTTAATCCACCCCCTGTGCCCCACACTCCTCAATAGACGACTAGAGTTGTGATTATGAAGAATATATCTTTAGGAAAAATATAATTTTGGTCCCAAAGTTTGGCTCGAGAGTAGGGATGGCAACGGGGTGGGCACCCGTCCCGCGGGGGTTACCCGCCCCGCAACCCGTTTGAAAAAATATATATATGTACATAATTATATATATAATGATATTATCAATTATACTACTAATTATACATGTCTATTAATAAAAATTATTAATTATTTATACTAAATTTATTAATACATTTATGTTAAATTCCTAACTACACTTAATACAATAACATTTTTTCTAAAAAAACACAATAATAATTTAGTGATTGTATTTGTATCAAAAGTAAAAACTTGATTATTTTAGTTATATTTGTTTTATCATATTAGATTGTATTCAAATAACCTTTATTTAATTATTTTTATGAGTTTCAATTGTGAAGTTACAATGAATAATAATTTGGTGATGTGTTAATATTTTAGTACTTGATTATTTGCTCAAATTTAATTATAATGAAATTATATAATAAAATTTTTTAACCCCACGGGTGCCCCGCGAGGAAAGCGGGGCGGGGCGGGGGCGGGGGGAATTAAAATGCAACAGGGCAGGGGTTGTGGGAGGTGTTCCCCGCCCCATTGCCACCCCTACTCGAGAGCTATTTCAATTTCGAAGTTTGCGTGAGGCAAATCTAGTCCTTAATATTTCTAATTTGAAGCAAATTTAGGATCATTAAATGATTTTATTCAATTATCATAGAGATGGAGTCACATAAGACCACGTGACCCTTGCTAGAAATTATGGCCTTATATTTTCTTTTAAATGATAAGAGGAAAAGAAATGAGATCTATATTGAGACTAATTTTGGTATGTCATAATGTACATCTTTGTGTTTTTAGTAACTTCACTTTTTTTAAGTTAAACACGTGTGGTTATGTAAGTAATTAATTTTTAGTATCATAATTTTTTTATTTTTTGTTTTAGACAAGGATCACGTGATTATGATGACCATTTTACTATGTGGGAAGGAAATAACCTTGTGAATTGCCCTAAATATGCTTCAAATCTGAAATATTAGAGACCAAAATTACCTTGGCCTAAACTTTAGCAACTAAGATTGCTGATATGTCAAACTTTGGAGATTAAAATTGTACTTTTTTCTATATATCTGTTTGGATTTATTCTCTTACATCTCTGTTTGTTTTTATATATTGGCAGTGTAGTAGTAGTTATGCATGCATGTCACACATATGTATCATTTACATTTCAAATTTAAATTTATATTATGTAATAATAATAAAAATCTGTTTGTGTAAAAAAAAATACACTGACAATGTATAAAAAAATTTACTCTTAAATGAAAGTGATTGTTAGGCCCTCAAGAACAAAAGCCATGCATCCTTTTGTCCCCCAAATTATTTTAGCACTCATAAGCATATGGATGCAATAATTGTTGGGATAATTTTAAAAACCTCCCTTGAAGTTTTTGATAATTTCGCTTGACTCCTCCTCAAGTTTAAAAAATTACACTTACCTTCCTTAGCACGATAAAATGCCTATAATGCCATCCATTTGGTAGACAATTTTAAATTTAAGGCAATAATTTATAAAATCCAAAAAAATCTATTTTTCTATCTCTTTTCTATTTTCGCTCCTCTCTTTTCTAGTTAATATAACCTATTTTTATTACCTTTAGTTTTGTGGATATCAGCAAATTGAAATTACAAAATCAACAGAGAAAGCAAATTATGTGTCAAACTAGAAGGACATGAAGAGACACGCAGTAAAAGAAAAATAAATTATGAAATTGATGATTGAAATAGGAAAAAAAACTAAAGATATGGAATTTGTCATATTTTATTTGCTGTCAAGAAATTTTTTTATAAAATGTCAATAATTACATAATAATTTCTTTCATTGGATTAGAAATTTGTTATTATGATTTTATTGTAGAGGTAGAATTTGTTCTTTACTTTTGAGATATTAATATTTTTAAGATCATAAAAGGGTTGTAATGGTGGTTATAGGTTAGATTATATTGTATTGAAAAGTATTTGAGCATTAATATTTAATTTTTGAGTATAAAATTGGTTGTCAATGGGGTTTTTGTATGTGTGTGTGTGTTTTTTTTACATGGCAAATATTAATAATGTATATGTAATTTGGGATCTTTTGGACGATTATTTGGTTTAGAACTTATGGTTGGATGGTTGTTAAGAATTAGACTCGTTGATTTGTGCAAAGTATGGAAGAAAATGATTAAGTATACTATATTTTTCTTTTTTAATTTTGTACAAAAGGGTAATTTAGGATTTTTGTGAGAAAATCTATATTGTTACTAAATAGTAAAAATAGGAGAGGTGTATGTAATTTTTAAAACTTAAGGGTAGCTCTTTGTAATTGTTAGGAAGTTTGTGAAATTATCCCATAATTATTTGTCATACGTCCACGTGTAATTCATTATTAGTTAGTAACTAGTAGCGCGTGAACTTAGAAAAATTATTTAAAGAATTAATCTTTTATATTTTGATTCATGAGCGTGAAATAATAAGATATATATATATATATAAAATTTTGTATACACATGACATGTATCTAACCTTATATGCATTCTTATCCGTCTCTAAATAGTAACAAATCTAGCGTGGCAATTGTATGCTAAAAAAAAAAAAAAAAATCCTATCTCTCCAAAGGAAAGGGCAAATGGAAAAGAAAAGCCAAATTTCATTACTGCCCTCCTCAAAAGGTGAATATTACCTGTGTATGTATATATGTGTATATTACAGGCACAAGTGATCCGAGTTTTGCCGAGTTGAAGTTGACGGTGTATGGTGGCGCTTTTGTCCGGCTGTCGCATAATAATTGATAGGAGTCCGCCGCTGCGTCTGTCTTCTGCACTGTAATTTCAGATCAAACTCAATAAATTTTCAGAGGAAGGACATTTTAGTTTCCTCTACTTATCCTATTCCACGGTTCAGACGATTACTACAATCGAAGAATGGGTGGCGGCAACGGTCAAAAGTCCAAGATGGCTCGCGAGAAGAACTTGGAAAAAATGAAAGGCCCCAAAGGTGGTATCTTTTTCTTTTCTTTTTTTAATGCTCATTTTGGGTTTATCAACTTATTTCTGTCGCCGAAAATAATGGAATATGAGATCATCAGTTCAGGTTTTTCCATTTAATTTCGTCCAAGCTCAATTCTGCACAGATCACCTAGATAGTTCCGGAGGGTTTTACGGCTTCTTTTTAATGTCTCCAATTTTGGATTATTAGCTGTTTGTTAATCCACGCAATTCTACGGCATTGGCAGGGAGTCAGCTGGAAACCAACAAAAAAGCGATGAATATCCAGGTATTTTTTCTTTCCAACAGTTGCTACTGAACAGAAATGCGCTTAGAATTTACTGACTAGTTACTAGTTACTACTACTTTTTACTTGAAAAGAGAAATATTTGATCTAATTGAAGGTGTCTGGAGCCTTTTCACAGCGGGTGGGGATTACCTTTCTTTTTTTTTCTTTTTTTTTGGAGTGGGGGTTGGGGAGGCCTCAGTAGGTAATAGGCATAATATTCAGTAAGTGCATTGTTTTGTTAGTTGATTCTCTGTAGTTGTCCATCATGGAATAGTGTTGCATTACGTGAATGAAGTTTAGGTTGGGCCTCGACGCTATATGGTAATTCAAAGAAAGTCTCCTAGCCTTCAAGGACTTCCATTTTATTCAGCTAGGTTGGTTTGTAATGCTATGTGTATATTTATGGAAAGAAAGTGCCTAAGGCTTCATGGAAGGACTTATCTTTGGATCAAACAGATATGTTTGAAGGCACAAAAGGATACTATGTGCTGTTATTCAAACATGCCCCCGCCTGATAATTGTCAGTTGAATTATTTGCAAATCAGTTCATTGAGATATACGGGATTTATCTTCGTTACAAGAAACGGGAAAAAAAAAAGTAGAAAAGGAAGAAGAAGGTTTAGTCTTGACTGGGTTCGTATCCCCACTGTAAAACTGTAACATACTACGATATGCAGGAGAATAATTTGTAGTGACTGGTTGGAGCTGAAACACAAACATGCTGGTTTATTGCACAATTTATTCTTCAATGTTGAAAAGATTGTTGGTACAACTTAGCCTTAATGAGGTGGAAATGATCTTTTTTTTTTTGGGTAGTTTTCCATTGTCCTATTCTTCCACCTTCCATCCTTCCATTGCTCTCTATTTTTTGTTTTTTTTTCAGTTTCTCATGTCATTGTAGTGGAGGGATTTAAGCCACCCACAAATGTGGAAATTTACTTATGATAAGCAGCAAGTCTTTAGTTGCACATTTCACTTCAGCCTGGTGTTACGTTTGAAGTTGGAGGTACTT